TTCTAAATGACAGCTTTGCAGGATAGAGTAATCTTGGTTGTAGGTTCTTGGTTTTCATCACTCTGAATATTTCTTGCCACTCCCTTCTGGCCTGCAAAGTTTCTTTTGAGAAATCAGCTGACAGCCTAATGGGAACTCCCTTGTAGGTAACTAGCTGCCTTTCTCTTGCTGCTTTTAAGATTCTCTCTTTGTGTTGAACCTTTTGCATTTTGATGATGATGTGTCTTGGTGTGGGCCTCTTGGGGTTCATTTTGTTTGGGACTCTCTGTGCTTCCTGGACTTGTATGTCTGTTTCCTTCACCAAGTTAGGAAAGTTTTCTGCCATTATTGTTTCAAACAGGTTTTCGATTTCTTGTTCTCTCTCTTCTCCTTCCGGCACCCCCAAGATGCGAATGTTGGCACGCTTGAAGTTGTCCCAGAGGCTCCTTACACTATCCTCATTTTTTTGGATTCTTTTTTCTTTTTGCTGTTCTGATTGGGCGTTTTTTGCTTCCTTATATTCCAAATTGATGGTTTGCTCCTTGGATTTACGTACTCTATTATTGAAGCTATGTAAATTATTCTTTATTTCAGTTAAAGCCTCCTTCGTTTCTAACTGTGCAGCGATCATTTCTGACTGGTCCTTTTTTATGCTCTTGAGGCCCTCACTGAGTTCATTGAGCATCCTTATAAGCAGTATTTTGAACTCAGCATCTGTTAGGTTGCTTATCTCCATTTCGCTTAGTTCTTTTCTTGGGGTTTTGTTCTGTTCTTTCATTTGGGACCTGTTTCTTTGTCTCCTCATTTTGGCTGCCTCCCATAGGTAGTTTGTTTCTGTGTATTACTTAATGAGAGGTATAGGGCTCGCTGAGACCCGATGCTGCTCGTTTGAAAGAATTTAGGAAAAACCTGAAGCAGGATCCAAGACAGGCCAATCCCATGGTTAAGCAAGTGGCAACATCTTGGGTGGGCCTGAAAGTTGGGTGGGGTGGGGCGGGGCCTCAGGGAGTCAACAGGGCGGGGCTACCAGTGTGAGCCAGGTTGCTGGAGTCCCAGATATGGCGACTGTCTGCCGCCCCAGGGAAGGGCTCACCAAAGGAACAAAGGCCTCTTACAGCACGTTTGTCCCCGAGGAAGCCCCCTCTCCAGCCCTCGCTCCAGTGCCAAACAGCTCAGTTCTTCCCTGTATTTCTCTGGTGCCCCTTGAGCTGCCTCCCCTCCAAGCTTAGAGGGAGAGAGTCCGATAAGTTCGTGCGCCGGCCCTTTAGGGAGCTGCCTGGGGCTCCAGCCACCTCAGCTTCCCTGAACCTCAGTTTCCGCTGATTTTTCCAGCCAGAAGTTATGGGGACTTCTCTTCTTGGCACTGGAAACCTGAGTGGGGCACCTGGTGTGCGACGGGGACCCCTCAGTCCTCAGGAAGGACCTTCCCAGCCGCGGGAGCCTCCTGATTTTTATCCGCCACACTTGGGTGTGGGACCAGCCCGACGCACTGCGGCCACCCCTCGCGCTGCCGCCCCTCCTACCGGTCTGGATGTAGCTGCTTTTTTTTTTTTTTTTTAATTCCGTAGTTGTAGGACTTCAATTCAGCTTGATTTCAGGCGGTTTTGGATGATGGTTGTTCTGTAGTTTTGTTGTAACTTGGATGTGGTTGTGGGAGAACGCGATACTGCGTTTCCCTACGCCGCCATCTTGACCGGAAGTCACTTTGTAGTATTCTTGAAAAGGGTTCAATGAGATGATGTCTATAAAGTGCTTAGCACAGTGCTCAACGGAAAGGTCTCAGTAAGTGGTAAATGCTTTTATTAGCCATGAATTCATGAACTTCCATATGTTTGGGCCTCAAAGGAATCAGAATGGACCTCAAAAAAATATGTTGTTCCCTAGCATCTTCCTTAGTTCTTTTTTCCAATGTGTTGTTTATGAAAGCAACCTTCAGGAAGACTCGATTGTTGGCCCTAGTGCTCAGTAAAACAGCACTAGTTTTTCCAGCAGTTGGTGGTGGCATTGGCAAGAGTCATTCGGAAACATGGGGAATTTGGCAGGCAGAGTGGTGTTTGCTGTTGGAGACTGCTTTGGCAAAGTCCTGGATGAGAGAGGGATGCCTGGGGTTTCGCACTGATTCATCCCTTTAGCATGGAATTCTGGCGAAACTGCGTCTGATTTGGGGGTGGGCAGGAAGAGCCCCGAGGGCCTCCTTGTGGAGAAGTTTACCTCTTTGAAATTCCCTTTTATTTATTCCGCACCATGTGATTCTCCTCCTTTTTAATCTGAACAACTTTAGCTGCTGGTGAAAATACTTAAACAGAAAATGTTCTGGTATTTCTGGCATGATTAAAATGTTTACTCTTCTAATTTAATAGGATTTTAGGATTATGTTGTTGGGAGAGCCCTTAGGAGATCAATACAACGCTGCCACCTGATAGATGAGGGTCTTCCTTCTGAGGGGAGCAGGTCCAGCTCTCTTGCTCGTGTGAGCTGGAGAACTGGAGACATTTTACCATAGCCACTCCAAGAACACCACGACTAGGTACTATTCTGCAGGGATCTGAGTTTACCAGTTTATTACCTGCAATAGCAACCCATTTAGAAATCTCTGTGGCTTAACACAACGAAGATTTATTTCTTGCTCACATGTCAGAGTCAGGTTCTTCTCTGCACCGACACTCAGGGACTTGGGCTAATAGGGGTCCCACCGTCTGGCAGCCAATTAGGATGCGTGCCTTCTAGGTTCCATAGCAGGGAAACAACCAGCTCTCACACTTCTGTGCTTCTGCCCAAAGGTGATAGAGTCATTTTGCTCACAGCTTATTTGTCAGAACTGGTCATATGACCCTGCCTATCTGCAAAGGGGCTGGAAATATGGGGAACATATGGACTATTTGATGAGCATTACCAGGGAGAAGTGATATAGGGTAAACATATATGTTAAAACTATATATTGAGCCCTGGCTGGCTTGGCTCAGTGGTTAGAGCATCAGCCTGCGGACCAGAGAGATGTGGGTTTGATTCTGGCTAAGGGCACATACCTCGGTTGCAGTTTGTCCCCGGCCCCAGTTGAGGTCATGTGGGTGGCAACCACTCAGCGTGTCTCTCTCACATCGATGTTTCTCTCTTTCTCTTTCTCCCTCTCTCCCTCCTGCTCTATCTGAAGATAAATGCAAAAATGTCCTCAGGTGAGGATTAAAAAAAAAAATTAAAACTGTATATTGAAAAAACTTCAGCTTCTTATTCTCTGTGTCTCCCAAGCTGCATTACTCTCCCAGTTTTCTAAGTCTCCAGGTTCATAGGGGCTCTCATTGCAGCAGTTTCACGGGTGGTTGTCTGGTGGGGACAGAACTGCTGTCAACCGCAGGGCACTGGGCTCCATCAGCAGAGCAGCAGATACTACAGAAGACAGATAGGGGGCAGCTGTGACTTCATCTGCTGACTGTGTGTGGTAGGCTGAGAATTACTCCCCCTTGTGCCTCAACCCACAATCTTTCAGTGTATGGGATGACACTCCAACCAGCTGAGCCACCTGGCCAGGGCTGTAGTAATTTTTTATAGTAGCCGCAGGAAACTAACATGCTTGTAGGTCCCAGTTTCTTGGTGGTCAGTGGCTACTGCTCTTATAACCAGGGCCCTGAGGATTTGAGTGAAGATTGGAGAATGGGGTGAGAGTGAGAATTTTCTTTATAGCCTCTGCTTTTACCTTTCCAAAATTTGAACTATGTGAATGTACTACCTATGTAAATAATAAATAAAATTAATCTTTACAGCCCTGTGAATTCTGCCATAGGGGCGCATGGGTAATTTTGTGCGTTCATTTCCCTGAGTGACATCTGTGACATCTAGTACAACTTGGAGGAATTCTCTTCAGAATGTTGTCCCACAGGCCTCACCATCTCCCCTGCTCCAATTTCTTCTCTTTCTGTTGTGCTTCTGATGTTTGGGTCCAGGTCAGTGATGGGAAAGAATTATTTGGAGAAAAATGAATGATGGTATAATAATTATAACTTTTAATTTGAATCTAAAAATGTTAAGTTAATTAAAAATTACCTCAGAATTACCTGTCATTCTGGATCAAGGCTTCCTGACCGGCGTGCTGAGATTTCATGTTCTCAGCTTTGGGCACTGTGTGCAAGGGCCAGAGTGGCCAAAGCCCCCAGGCTGGTGGCTTCCGCTTCAAGAGCAGAACCCTTGATGCCAGTACGTTACGTAAATCCTGTCTTCAGTTTCATTGCGTGCAGTGATGTGGAAAGGTTGGGGAATTCTGCTCTAGCTAAAATGTGGCTTTATATTTTTAACGTGTATGTTGCATCAAAATAGATGTAGAAAACAAACTCACTGGGTCTTTGGGAGAACTCCAATGTGGGAGTCCTCAGCTTCCCCTGCGACGCTCACGGGGATGGTGGCGCTCTGCTGCGAGGACACCGGCACTCCTTCCTGCAAAGCCCCAGAGCAGGCTCAGCTGCAGTGTCTCCCACACAGAGCCTGTGGGAAAGAAGGCAGAGTAACATTTCAGGGAACGATCTTGAGTGCACTCTGATGTACCAAGCAATACATCACTGAAAACTCGGCTCTCTCTACTGCATAGGAGCAAAGCCCCCTGACCTGTCTCATAACTGACATCGGATTGAGAATCACTATCCTCAGAGTAACATTTCATGGTGTGGCTAGCTGAGTATAAGTTCATTTCAGTTGACCAAATAAGAGACAGGTTTTTAAATATTAGTGACAAGCAAAAAAACAAACAAACAAACAAAACAAAACCAAACACACACAACCACCAAAACTTAATGATATTACATGCAGTATATAAATAAGAACTTTCTCAAGTGCAATTTTCATTTGAACTGTAATATTTGTTGTTCTGTTGTGTCCTGGTGGGTCTGATGATGTTGGTAATGATGTCTGTTCTTTATGTTTTCTGGAATAAGTAACTGAATTAATATGTCAGTATAGTACTATCTGAAGAACACTAAGAGCTATTAAAATGCTTAAAAATAAAATGATCAATTCTTCTTTTGTTCTCTTGACAGGATAATTGAAGCTATCTGCATAGGTTGGTTCACTGCAGAGTGCATCGTGAGGTTCATCATCTCCAAAAACAAGTGTGAGTTTGTCAAGAGACCCCTGAACATCATTGACTTATTGGCAATCACGCCCTATTACATCTCCGTGTTAATGACAGTATTTACAGGCGAGAACTCTCAACTCCAGAGAGCCGGAGTCACCTTGAGAGTGCTTAGAATGATGAGGATTTTTTGGGTGATTAAGCTTGCCCGTCACTTCATTGGTCTTCAGACACTTGGTTTGACTCTCAAACGATGTTACCGAGAAATGGTTATGTTACTTGTCTTCATTTGTGTTGCCATGGCAATCTTCAGTGCACTTTCTCAGCTTCTTGAACATGGGTTGGACCTGGAAGCATCCAACAAGGACTTCGCCAGCATCCCTGCTGCTTGCTGGTGGGTGATTATCTCTATGACTACAGTTGGCTATGGAGATATGTATCCTATCACAATGCCTGGAAGAATTCTTGGAGGAGTTTGTGTTGTCAGTGGAATTGTTCTATTGGCATTACCTATCACTTTCATCTACCATAGCTTTGTGCAGTGTTATCATGAGCTCAAGTTTAGATCAGCTAGATATAGTAGGAGCCTCTCCACGGAGTTCCTAAATTAATGCATTGCAAATCAAGTCTTGCATACACCTCGTGTGGTAGAAAGAATTGATGCTCCTTCACATTTATGTATTTCTTGCTCGGTGAGCACTGCAGTGTGGTACTGTCATTATCTTGGTAAGGTAAAAATGATCCTTCCCAGCTGAAGGGATAAAACAAGTTACTTATTATGGAATAAACAGGATTGAGACTGAAAAGGACAAGAAATGATTTCAAGAGTTAATTTTAATACCTTATTTTATTTAGACTTGTCTCCTCCTTGCCTTGAACAATTACACTTTTTTTTTTTCTGTTTTAAAGTATATTATTTGAACATTTTAAAATGGAAAGCTACTATTTTCCAAATGTTTTTCCATCTTATGAATTTAGAAGAAGCTTGGAAGTTATGGTGTTTTTTGTTGGAGAGTAACATTTTCATTTCTAAATGTTTTATAATCTCTCATATCAATGTCAGAAGTATCTTGGAAACATATGTCACATGCAGGAACTGTTTAACAAATACTTTAAAAAATTGGCTGAATTTAAACTGTACAACAGAGCTAGATACAAGCAAGAATAGTATTTGGAAAATTTTTTCAGCATACTTCTCAATTCTCGGATTTATTTTTGTTCCTATTATTCACTTTATCATGCAGCTTCATGGCAGCTTGAGTGTGTCCTCACTTTTTCATTTTGGATTTCTTTTATCTCTTTGCAGAAATGACTCAAAAGAGTGTTTTAGAATGAAGAGAGCTTGTATTATTTAGCATTTTATTAGAGTTCATTTTATTTGAATTTACTGCTGTTACTAGGTGATGATTGTCCTGACATTTAGATGTCCAAACAAGAAGATTTCCACATAAGAAATAATAGAAGGAGTTTGGTATTACAACCCATATTTTTTCTTCTTCTGCTATTTTTTTTTTCACCTAAACAACACGGGTTTAAGTCTTACAGGTGAAAGGATATTTATATATACCAAAGTCATACTTAGATGTTGTCACTGGATTATCATAAAGAAAGAAATGAAATATTTTCTTACTCTTGGTTGCTATATAGTGAAGCCATTTTAAGCCAGCTGAACGCAATGAGTACATAATTATTTGATCTGATCCTCACCATTATGGATTATGGCTGCACCAAAACTTCTTGCAACAATACTGAATAATATTTCACATTAATCTGGCTAGATTATTAAGACTAGATATAAAACTGATGACTGTTTAGTGCTAAATTTAGCAAGGTGAATTAAGACTTTTGCTTTGTTAACCAGCTGCCATAAAGAAGTCAGTGTATATATACACAAAAAATAAAGTCACTGATTAGTGAATAATTTAATGTTGTACACTATAATTTAGTGGGAGGAGGGAGGCGGGGCAAGGCAGAGGGATGGGACCTTGATATATTTATCAAGAAAGGGTTACCAGAAGTGTTCATCAAAGGAATGTTAGCCATCATCCTGTTCAAACCTCAAGTAGACAGGTAGAAACCAGGGCAAGAGAGAATATGGCTGCAAAGGCGTTAGGACTAGCACCTGGATCTCTGGAAACTGAGTCCAGCAGCTCATTCTTAACATACTCTGGGTTTTAAGAAGCCACATTTCTTTGCCAGTGCCATTGCTGGGTAATAACAGCAGAACCATTCCTTTCTCCCTGGTTCCTTTCCTGAGTCTGTGCTGTTTTAGCCATGAAGAATCTCACCCCACCTTCCCTACAGCTAGTGGTATGCTACTCATCACATACTCAAGATAAATTCTGTTATTTATTGTATTTCAATATATTCAAAATAAATGGCATGGATTTATTTTTTCTTACCTATTTGGATTAAGGCACTGTGATTCATGCAGACAATATGCAGATGACAGCATCCCGATATTATTAATTAAAATACGATAGCCATCCATTTTGCTGGCACAGGGAGCTCTTCCTGTGGATACTATCTTACCTTTCCCAAGTAAATTATAAGTATCTTGAGGACTAGAGTCCTTTTTCTTATACACACCTTCATATTCCTACAGAGTCTATGACAGATTTGGACAGAAACTATTCACTGATTTTGGGGGAGAAACTTCTATGTGAAGAATCGAGGAGAAGCAAGCTCCTATATGTGTATGTGGATAGCCACATATGAGAATACACACACAGACTTTGAGGCTGCCCTTAGGTAACAAGTAAGAAATCTCATGTTGGTGATGGACTTCTCATAAAGGAGCATGTTGGATAAATTCTAGAGATAGTTCAGCTACCTGCTTACTAAGAATGCTGATGAGGCATGACAGAGTAGTTCAGTTATGAGTATATATATATATATAATGGATATTGTAATTTTTTAGGACACAGGCATTTTATAACTTCCCCTGAATGTTATTGCCTTTAAAAAAAAAATCATTTAACAGGACTTCTTTTATTCTTTCTTTTTATTGTTTGGTTGATCCTTACCCAAGGGGAAGGGAGAGCGAGAGAGAGAGGGAGAGAAACATTGAGGGAGAGAAACATTGATGTAAGAGAGACACGTCAACTGGTTGCCTCCCGCACGACCCCAGAGGTCAGGGATCAAACCTGCAACCCAAAGTAGGTGTGTGCCCTTGACTGGGAATTGAACCCGAGACCCTTTGGTCCAAGGGCTGACGCTCTTTAACTGCTGAGCCAAACTGGCCAGGGCAGGACTTCTTTCTTAGTTATGCTTTTATTTATTTTTTCTTTATTGATTTTAGAGAGAGAGGAAGGGAGAGGGAGAGAGAGATAGAAACATTGATGAAAGAGAACATCAATTGGTCACCTCCTTCATGCTCCTTACTGGGGATTTGGCACAACCTGGGCATGTGCCCTGATTGGGAATCAAGCTGGCAAACTCTTGGTGCACGGGTTGATGCTCAACCACTAAGCCACACCAGCCGGACTCTTAGTTGTGCTTTTAGACACTTTTCATAACTCAGTCTTCATGGTACAAATGCTTTCATTTAGGGTCTTTATCGGTAGCAGGACGCCAGATAGTATCCTAAATAGAATGTGCAATGAGGAAAGAGGGAACCTGAATAAAGGTTCTGATTTTGCCACACCTGAGACTGTGAAGTGATCTTATGTAGAACTTGTTTTTTATTCTCTAAAATGGAATTTTTTAGGATTAAAGATAAAATTAGAGACTACATCTGAAAGTATTCAAGGCCTTATTTATCTTTTGCTTTTATGACTCTATTGTTATTGTGGGTTGCTAGTTGACACAGTTGCATTTGCTTTGCTATTGGGTTTTGCAGTTTTTTGTAACTACATCTTTGTAAGTTCTTGCTTTCTTAAAAATGCAGAAATATATTCTTTCACAGTGGCTGTCAGTAAACCAAAGTAATATTTTCTGTTTTTAAGCTTTTGTCCTGATGTCTTGCCTAGGTCTCCCATGAACTGGGAAGCAAGGGAGGTGGGGGTGGGGGATCGATTAAGTTGGATGTTGGTGTTGGAAGGGTTTTCTTTGTTGGCTTGATATTTTCTAGAAGCAGCTTATTTCCTCTTTGCTGTAGAAATGAAAAATAAAAAACACTGAAAACCCCTAGCTCTGTCTACTATTAAGCTTATATAACTCCAAACTTGATGCATAGCTTCACAAAATATTTCCAGAGCCCCCTGGCCTTACAAAAAGGTACATTCACTTATGTTATACAATATATAATGCAATCAAATATGGTGTATATAGTGCACGGAGTCATAGGAAATTAGAACAGGAGTTGCCCCAGAGACCTCTGCTCCCATCTAGATGTTAGCAAGCAGGGCACTGTGCTCCCAGTAGGTTGTGATTTATCCATTGTCACCCATAGGGAAACTAACTTGCCTGGGACTTTCTTGGATTTAGCACTGAAAGTCCCCCACCCTGGGAAAGCTCTTCGTTTAAGGCGAACTGGAAAAGTTGGCATCCTAGTGTTAGGTCAGGACCCGGAAACCTCGTTTCTAGACTTTCGGTTCACTACTCTCTGGACATACTTCTTTTTATTTTGTAACATCAGAAGGCATGAATGATTTCTTTTTAAAATATTTTTGGGGGGCTCCTTTTTATAGGGAAAATCAAAAGCAAATGTTGCTTTTAGACACCTTAGATGTCAGGAAGGAGGGCTTGGGTCTGGTGTATAGGGAACTCAGATTTTCAGTCGAGTTTTTAAATTGCAAAACTACAGTTATGCACCCAGCTATACAAATAAGTGCAGTTCATGTGTATCACTGCAGTATTTAGAAGGTACAGGTTGAGAAATGTCATAGCTGAATGGAAAGTAACATGGGTTGAAGCTTGAATGGAATGTTCTGGAAAAGTTCCGTTTTGGTCAGGAAAGGCTGCACACACGTCTCTGTTTGTTCAGCGTGTTTCATGTGGTGTTTTGCTTCCTGCCTTTGCAGTCCCATCTGCACTCAGAGGACGGCATATCAGTTCTGCCCCAGAAAGTAAATTAATGATTTACTGTTCTATGCCGTGGTGTCTTCCAAAGACTTGTGAAATGTCACCCGAAAGCATAATCATGTTGTCCCATTCTGTGATTAGCATTTTTCCTTTTAGCAATTTTTCACTTATACCTAAACATTTAGATTTTTCCAATTCTATCTGACATTCCCAATAAGCAGTTCAACTTTTGACCATTAGTGTAAGTGCAATGGTTAGTTTATTATTTATTTAGGGAATTGAACTTGATAATCTGTATTTATGCTGTAATTCAAACAAATTAATTTAAGTAACTTTGGTGAGACTCCTTTGATTTATATTAAAAAAATATCAACACTATACCAAGTACAGTGAAAGCATAAATGACATTTAATGGACGAAAGTCAGGGGGAATAAACAAATATAATTTGGGTTTCACTGACTAGGACAAAGTAATGCTATGTCATTTATATCTGACATGTTACTCTTGCTTTATTTATGCAACATTGTATTAAAACTAAAACTAAAATTTCCCATAATTGTGTATTAGGTAGGTTTTCCCTCCACATAGATTTCAATTGTTCAATTGTTTCGAAATAATTTCTGTGATTCTGCCTGTGACACAGTCAAGGCCATCTGTAGGGTGTATTGTTATAAAGTGTTTTTTGTTTTT